CCACTACGTAGTTCAGGCTGGCCTTGACCTCACTATGTAGCTCAGGCTGTCCTCAAACTCGTAGTGATCCTCCCTCTTCAGCCTCAGAGTGCTGGGATTACAGGCATGCGTCACCACACCTGCCGAGATGAACTTCTAATGCTAAGAAGGTAGAGTAAAATGAAAAAGTCAGGAAAGGGAATGGCTTCAGTAGAATACTTTGATTCCTGCTGCATTTCATGGGTTCTTAACTCACTTAGGCTATCTATGTCCCTGCTGATGACTTGACCGACCCCGCCCCTGCCACTACTTTTGCCCACTTGGATGCCACTACCGTGCTGTCGCGCGCGATTGCCGAGCTGGGTATCTATCCGGCTGTGGATCCTTTGGACTCCACCTCTCGCATCATGGATCCTAACATTGTTGGCAGTGAGCATTATGATGTTGCCCGTGGGGTACAAAAGATCCTTCAGGTGAGTATATTGCTGTGTGGGATCTGTGGCTATAAAGTTAGAGGGAATATGAAGACTGTATGTCAGGATCCAGACACTTGCGGTTTGCTTTGGACAAAGGGGAATTGAGACTACCAGTTGATAGCGCTAATGAGGGCTTTTGAATTTCTGGGTAGACTTTGGAATTCAGTTTTTCACTAATAGTACCTGAGGGGAGAGGTAGAAGAAGATCCTTGATCTTGGCTGCTGGTCTTCACTATCCCCAGCATGTGATTCGCCCTCTACTGGCTTGTTTCAACAGATTTTTGAACACTTAGGCCCCTTTTACTTTGTTTTCTCATAGGACTACAAATCCCTCCAGGACATCATTGCCATCCTGGGTATGGATGAACTTTCTGAGGAAGACAAGTTGACCGTGTCCCGGGCACGGAAAATACAGCGTTTCTTGTCTCAGCCATTCCAGGTTGCTGAGGTCTTCACAGGGCATATGGGGAAGCTGGTACCCCTGAAGGAGACCATCAAAGGATTCCAGCAGATTTTGGCAGGTAAGGTTTTGAATACAAAGCTAAACATAAAATGATAGAAAAACTGAAATCTTGAGTGCTTGGTGTGTGCCCATTCCAACGGAAACTACAATATTCTACTCATTTCTTTTTTTCTGGTACTGGGGATGGAACCCCAGTCTTTGCACTGAGCTGCATTCCCAACTCTAATTTTTTATTTTGAGACATGGTCTTGCTCAGTTGCCTAGGCTGGGATTCAACTTCAGTCCTCTGCCTCAGCCTCCAAGAGTGCTGGGATTAAAGTGTACACCCATGTCTGGCTTTTTACTTTTTTAAATATTTCTCATCAGTTTTATTTGAAAGTACATTCTTCTGAGTGTGTGACATTACTTGAGTTTCTAGTTGCCCTCCCCCTCTGCCCTATTTTCCTAATGGTTTTGAGATTGAACTCAGGGTCTTTTGTTTGTTTTTTTGTTTGTTTGTTTTCTGGTACCAGGAATTGAACTCATGACCTTGCACTTGCCAGGCAGGCACTGTGCTGCTGAGCTAAATCCCCAGCCTCTGAACTCAGCGTCTTGACCATGCTAAGCAACGTGCTATCTCTGCACATCCCCACTTCCCATTTCAGTTATTAACTTCTCACTTTTCCTTTAATTAAAAAAATTTTTTCTTACCTGAGGTAACCTCAGACTTGCGATCTTCCAGGACTGGCCTCCCCAGTAGCTGTCTAGTGCATCTGTCGCTGTGCAGTGCAGCCCTTAATGGCTTCAGCACTAGCTGCTCTTCTGAGCAGATCACAGCGGTACAGGAAAGCATTATTGTCCTGCTTTACAGATGAGGAAACTAGAGCACAAAAGTGTTAAAAATAAACTACCAGTATAACGTAGCCAAGGAAGAGAACAAAAATGTGTTGCTGGCCCTTGTGGTGCAGGCCTCTAATTCCAGCGGGCAAGAGGTTGAAGCAGGAGGACCTTAAATTGTAGGTCAGCCTAGGCTACATAGTGAGACCCTGTCTCAAAACTTTTTTTTTCCTTCCCTCTCAGGTAATGTAGTTCCAAGTCACGTGATCTTTTGTTTTGTTTTTGGTGTTTTTGAGACAGATTCTCACTATGTCATCCAGGTTGGCCTTAAATACACCATGTAGCCCATGCTGCCCTTTGCAGCAATCCTCCTGCCTCAGTCTCTCAAGTGCTGGGATTATAGGCATGTACCACCACACCTGGCAGTGATGCCTTCTTAATCCATAGTACACTGTGTTTTGAATTGGACTTGTGGAGGGACATTGAAGAGGTTTCTTGGATGACATGAATTGGTCATAGTCCGTTGGCCTCCACTCACAGGTAAGGTTGGTTGGTACCGTGCTACACTCCTTGCTAGTTGGATTTGTTTTCCCTGCAGGTGACTATGACCATCTCCCAGAGCAGGCCTTTTACATGGTGGGGCCCATTGAAGAAGCTGTGGCAAAAGCTGATAAACTGGCAGAAGAGCACGCGTCCTGAGAGCCTCCTGCCAGCAGAAGTTCTCATCCCCCATGCTGCCCTTCTCTTTGCCGCTAACCCTGAAGTTTCTGTGTAGGCCGCACAAGAGCCTCAGTTGAAGACATTGCACCTGAAGAGTATTTAAGGTTTCCAATAAAATGTAAACCCTTCAGCATTTGTCTGTCTTTCTTGGTTCTGATGACATAGGCAGCACTAAAGATATTGACAGGGAGTGGCCGTAAGATGCAATTTTAGCACAAAGTAGGCTAAATGTACTTGGAATGGTGTCCTCAGAGGAGTTACTGTTCTCTGAGATTGCGAGCTGCCGCAGGTTTTATGAGGATTTACCTGTGGGTGGTGTGGTCTCTCAGTTTTGTTTCATTCATAGTGTTTGTTGAAAGCAAATGGATTTTTTCCCTTCATAGCACATTTCTACTTGGTTAAAAGTAAAGGGATTTTTTAAAGAGCCGCATTGGAAAAAACATACTAGTTTAGAAGTAACATATTCCACGGCAAGGCAGGAGTTAACTAAATTTTCAGGAAATGGTGAACACTTGTCTTTGTTACAGTGAGTTAAAAGGGCCCTTTACATCTTCTTAGGTCTTTGTAGAGAAGGTGGTGTAACTGCTGTCTCCTGACATGAACAAGCCTAGACCTGCGTGTTTGTCATTGGGCCTCCAGAGGTGAAAGGTACCTTGAGGCCCAGCCTGATCCCTACCAAGGTCCCTTATGAAAGTCTGGGCAAGGTTTGATTTTACAGGGAGACAGCAACTTTCTGAATTGCTGCTTGGGCTGCTGAATGAAATTAGGTCATTTCAGCCCAATAGGTTGAGTGCAAGGTCAATTTTGGTGCCCCAGGTGTTCTCCGAGGCCAGACCCATCCTACTGCCCTCTTGTGGCAGCACCGGAGCCTGCAGGATCTCTGATGTCACCATTTTGAAATCCTTAAAGGCCATTTGCTGTGAGGTGGTTTTCATCTAATGACTGTTTACAAACCAGCTGAGGCTTTTGTCCAGAGGCGGGGCCTGCATTATAGGCTCCACCCCTGAGGCCTTCAAGTTGGGTGGGAGCTAGGCGGAGACTAGCCGAGCTCACAATTCAGAGGCCCCTGGGGGCTAAAGGTTGGGGAGGGGCCTTGGGAGAGGCGCCAGGGGTGGAGCAGCGGCCTGCAAGCTTCCTCCCATCTGCTTGTATGACTCCTCGGCGGCAGTCTCCCGAGTGTCCCGATCTGGACGGAAGGTGGAGCCCCTGAGCTGCTTGTGACTGGTAGTCGGCCACCAGAAGCTTGAATTTGGGGAAATGCTGAGTTATGGGGGTGGGGACTCTTCCAGGTCCTGACTCTGGGGTGGCTAAGAAGGTGGTGAAGGCCCCAGGGTATGGGTCCCTCCTTGCTGCTGTTTTCCCAGCTACCCAGATGCAGGCCTGAGAAATAAAACCCGAAAGGTCATTTGCATCTCTCCACCCCTTCCCCCCGGACGCGTCAGGACGTCCTCCAGCACTCACTGAGAACCTTCTCCCTCTCAGCTGCAATTATTTCCTTCCCCCTTCGCCACCCTCTCCGACCACGCCACTGAGTGTCAACACACTTCTAACCTTCCTCCATATTTCTCCTGGCCTGCCCTGTCCTTGCCTCCTCCCTCTCTCCACCCCGAGAAAGCCCCGCCCTCCCTCCTCCCTCCCACCCCAGTCTGTCACACAGGGACATCACCCTACAGCAGTTCAGGCTGTGGTTCGCAGGAAGCATACACTGGCCTTTTGGTTCTTACTAGTTCTCAGTTCACATTCGGAGGAGATCTAACACCAGCCTTGACGTCAAGGTGGGCCAAGGACAGTGAGGAGCCGGTGGTCCCAGCTGGGAGTCCCGCCAGCCTGCCATGGGTGAGTGCGGGGCCAGCCCTGGGGAAGGCCCGAGGGATGCCTCGCTCCCTCCCTGGCTGACTCAGCAGGGGTGGGGCCTAACCTTTGCTCGTTTGGGGGGTGAAAGAGAGGAAGTGGGACTTTGGGGGAGACGCGGGGCTCAGCTGTGAGGCTGCCAACCGAGGGATCCTGGCCCTGGCAAGCTCCAGCTCTAAGCTAGCGCCTAAGCCCTTGCCTCAGGCCAGGGCTTCCCCGTCCGAGTGCTGCCCCCCGCTCCTCCTCACCCAAGCTGTGGGGGTTCCAGTAATATTTCATAGGACTCTTGCTGCCCCCACGAAAGTAGCGCCCACCTCCGGTCGTGTGGAGGGACTTGAGGTGCCTCCAGTGCCCACAGTCTCGCCCAGGCCTCTCGAGTGCCTGCTTCGCCCCCCCCCGTCCCACCTCCAGGTGGGGGCTGCACGAGCAGCTGCTTCCCGGCGCCCGCGATGGCTGCAGGGTGGCGGTGGTTGGGACAAAACTGAAGTACGAACAGGAGCGATTCTCAGGGCCCGCAGCAGCCTGCGTCGCGCTGCGGGGCCGGCCTCCACACTGCCAGCTGAGGACACCGGGAAAGGCAGCGCAGCTCGGGAGGACAGCGGGGTTTTGCCCTGTGGCTTCCTGATTCCAGAAGCTCCACCGTTGTGCGGGTGGGGCCTTGCGGGGGAGGCGAACCCGGGGACCCGGTCACCTCGCAGGCAGCGGCGCGTGACCCCCAGCACTCGGCCCTGCCGGAGCCCTGCGGCTCGCCCTGCTCTCCCTCCTTTGTGCAGAGGTCTCCGCTGCGCCCGGGGGCACGGGCCCCGCTCTCCCAAGTACCCCGGTCCGGACCCCGCGCACTTCGCCGCCCAAGTTTCTGCCTCTTCCTGGGACCTGCTCTTCCTGCATCGGGGATCCTTCCTGGTTCTGGCCCGAGACGCCACCCGCCTCCCCGCCCCTCCCCTCCCCCAGCGGGGCCGCGGCGGCCGCGCTCCCCGGCAGCTCC